CAGCGGCGCGTAGGGAACGCTGTTTATGTGTAGGAGTGGCAGGGGCACTGCGGAAGTGTTCCGGTTTTTACGTCTTCTGTGGTGCCCAGTGTAGTGCGGGGGCGGTGGAGGGGCCTTTTCGCCCTGGGGAGTGCCAAACCCTTGGCTTCTTGTGCCTGGGCTTGCTAGGACAGTGTCAGGTATTGGGGCTCCTCCCTGCCCCTCTCCGCACCTGCTGGGGCCCACGGGGCTGAGGGCCAGGCGTGGGGGGCGGTCGTGGGGCTGTGTCATCCCCCGTGTCCCGCCGCCTGCCCCTGGAGAGGTGCCATGTGAAGAGTCGTTACCTGGAGCTGTCAGCGATCTTACCCTGCGGGTGTTTTAACCTCGCTCCTAACTCTCTCAATCCGAAGTGAAGCCTTTTTCTCTCAAGAAAGCTTGCTTTGGTTCAGAGGGTGGGAAAAGGGACGTCTGAGCTGCAGACGCAGCAGCTTTCTCTGTGGAGATGGGTGCTGCCTGATGCTCATCACCCTGAGTTCTTTCTCTGGCGTGTTTTGTGTTTGAAACAGGTGGCTTGTGACTCCTCTGAGGCTGACATGAGGTGGGGAGGCATCTGCATATACCAGGTGCTACTCCATGTTGTAGTCTTGGTGGGATGGGGCCACAGGCTGGAGGAGACCTGCACCCTGCTCCAGCCAGGTTCCCCCATGGCAAAACCAGTAGTTGGGAGAGATACTGCAGTGTGTATCTGCTGTTTAATCTAGATACAGGCTTTCTGTCCGTAATGATTGTGCTAAGCATAGGTGTCTACTGCTGAGAATATATGCTTCAAATTCATAGTGGTAGGAACACGCAGGGTCAGGGCATCCAGAAACCTCCACACAAGTGCTTGACTGCTGACCTGCAGAGCCCATGGGGGGACCAGACTGAGGAATGAGTTGCTGTCGGCAGACACTCTGATCGCTCAGGGCTTTGCTGCAAACAGTTTACAATTGACTGACAAATATGTGCTTGTGTTGTATGCTTTTTTGTTCCTTGAAGTGCGGTCATTGTGTGTCATCTCCAAAACCACCCTGATGAGAAGGGTATCAGTAGTTGCATTGCTATTCCTGAGCTGCGGAGAAAGCGTGGGTAACGGTAGAGATAGAACTCCTAGCCTTGTGTCCCAGCTATTGAAATATTACTTACAATTTTGTTAAATGCACTGATTTTTCAGGTAGGCAAATAGTGTGAGTTGCCAATAGTTTTGTCTGTAAATTCTTGCCTGTCATGGAAGCCCTGCAAAAACTTTCTAGATAGTAACTGCTTGCTGCTCTCACTATTCCTGTACATTTTGATCTCCAGGTCGGAAAACCTTATTGCTAGCAATCTGCAGGTATTAGGACAGTAGGAAAAGTGTGGTCTTCACTGTAAGCAACATGAACTGAAAATGCTAAGTGCCTGCTACTTATGCAGTAAAGTACATGTTAAATTACTCATTTCGGACAGAATTGGAGGATTGTTTCCATCTAAGCTTGCTTTTTTTTTTTCCTTTCTCCAGTTGTGGGAGAAGAGAAACAGGAGAGAAGTTGCTACTGCTTATAGCAAAGCTACTGCCAAGAATTTTTCTTAGGTGGAAAATCATGCATGCAGAAACTTGTTCTTCCCACCTATTTGTTTGAGATAATGAATTAGTAGTATCAATTAGGTGTTGTGTAGCAACATATCAACTCTAGGCACTGTCTTAGGGGAAGAGCACAACGCAGAAAATTTTACTACCAGCTGACATCTTACGATGTCTGGTGATATTTATCTGTAGTTAACTCAGCATTCTAGTATTTATTGCTTCTTTTATAGGTGTGTGGTTTAATCTCAGGTTAGTTAATTACCTACACAGCTGATGTATGTAGAGTATGACAGGCATTCAAGTTACACAAGAAGTGTGCATGTACCATAAAGTTATCATAAGCAGGTTTTTTTATCGTGTGTGTTTCTGTGTTGCAGGCAATAAAATGGAAATGGACTTTGATTTCTTTCTTTGTACTACAGTAGAAAATTACAGTAATCTCTCATGCTGATCAAATATCTTTTTTTCTTTTCTTTTGTAACCTTGTAGGTTGAGTCACTGGGCTGACTTCTGCCAGACTGTCTGTTACATTTAAAACAGTGTGCGCGCATATAAGCAAGCTGAAGGTAATACTGAAGATATATAGACTTAGAGAAGGTAAGAGTTTATTATTCTGCCGTTCTGATGCCTAACTTTTGGCTCTGGTTTTCCTACAAAGGCAAATAATTGCCTTTGTGAAGTCAAAAGAGACTTGTTTTTGTAAGTCCTAAACAAAATACTGTTGTATCTGATCATCTCAAAAGGTGTAATATTACTTACCCAGTGAAGAGTCTAATGACACCAGTGGGAATTGCTGTCTCGGGTACAGGTATGGGATTGAAATACAAAAGCAAACAATAAATCCTAAAAGAACTCAAGTGCCAATTATGGGATTTAAGGTGCTTGTTCCACCAAATCAGTTTTTCAGTGACTTGATAATTTTCCATCCTAATTATGACATTTGCTGCATAGTTTATACTGGGAAATGTAAAAGACAGAAATAACTTACGAGTTTGTATTTAAATAAATTTGAGCCATTCGTGTTTTGTGTTTTATCTCCCAGGCTCTGAACCATGGATAGCCTCTGTGCAGCAAATACCACTTTTGCACTCGACCTGTTTAGAAAGCTGTGTGAGAACAAAAGCAGGCAGAATCTATTCTTCTCTCCTTTTAGTATTTCTTCTGCTTTGTCTATGATTTTGCTGGGTTCAAAAGGGGACACTGAAGCCCAAATAGCAAAGGTATGTCTAAATAAACTTAGTGTATTGAATTTGTTGGGAGCATATGAACAATCAATCTGTGTTATAGTCTGTGACCTGCACTTATGCTGAACTACTGTTGTCATTCTGATCTCGGAGCAGATGTCTTCCTTTGGTATGTATGTAGGCAGTACCTGATTTTATTGTTTTTATGGGGGGGGGGGACCTTCGGTATGAAATTAAGAGATTCCTGGGTTTTATTGTCTGAGGTTTTTTTGTGTGTTTTTCATTCTTTGAGACAGATCTTCCTTCAGTATCTCATTGAGAGGTACCTGGGATATTTTTTTTTTTAGGTTTGATGAATCTGTGGCTACACAAAATATTTTCTTCTACTATCTTCTTTGGGCTTGATGTCAGACTATACAAGTTTTGAAAATGTAGCCAGGCACATTTTAAAAAAAAAAATATTAAAAAACCCCACCTGTATGCATGTCAAAATGGTAGCTGCATCTTAAACTAGCTCAGGTGGCAAATACCACTTGGCATATTTTTTGCATAAGCAATTAACACTATTAAATGCATAGTCAGTCATTTTTGTTAATATGTTTGCCTTTTGCAAAGTGGAAGAGGAGTATAAACACATATTTAATTTTCATTTAAATCTATAAAAGCTTCTCCGAAATTATATTTTTGTCATACTTGTAGATATTCAAAAGCCATCTGGGCATAGTCCTGGGCTACTGGCTGCAGGTGGCCCTGCTTGAGCAGGGAGGTTGTACCAGATGACTTCCAGAGGTCCCTTTGAACCTCAACCAGTCTGTGATCCTCTAATGCTTGGCTTGGGTGAAGGAAGCTGAATCCTGCTGACTCTTCTGCTCCCTAATTTATTACTTGTACAGCATCTGACTGGGTGCATCATATGTGACTTGCATGATAAGCTCCAGATGGGAGGTGCGATGAAAAATCTTTTGGCTTCACATGACAGTTTTTAAAGCCAAAAGTCATTAAAAAAAAAAAACCAACATTGTTCTGAAGCAAGTCTGTTTAGAGAAGACATGGACTCCACTGAGGATGTTTGTCTTTCTACAGGTGCTTTCTCTGAACAAAGCCAAGGATGCTCACAATGGATATCAATCGCTTCTCTCTGAAATTAATGATCCAAACACCAAATACATACTGAGAACTGCTAACCGACTTTATGGAGAAAAGACATTTGAGTTTTTTTCAGTAAGTAACCATTAAATATGTGGCTTTTTTTTTTTAGTATAATGTATTTGCTACCTATTTCTTTTGGAGGCCAAAGGGAGGCTTTGGATGTTACTTTCCAGATTTTCTAAGCTGAGATCTACCAATCCATTAGATTATGCCAGAGCCCGGTATCTGAACTTGGTGGAGAAGCTCCTTTTAAATAATCTGTGGTCGGAATGCACAACTGGTGCAAAGCACTATAAAATCCATCGGACTCTAAATCTTCAGGGTTCAGTGATCCATTCATATTTATGGCTGTGGGACAAATGGTTGATGTATGTCTTTTCCCTTGATCTTGTGTAAATATAATAAGAAAGAATTGTTATTGCTCTTCAACATGGGCAATATTTTGTAGTTTTTCTGTTATGTCAGTCATCCAGAGATCATACTGAGAGGAATACGTGACTTTTAAGACTTTCCTTATCCGAAGATCTAAATAAGCATAACAGGTATTGTTATACGTATTCCTTTAGATGCTTCCCTAGAAGCAAGAAGGTGTAAGGCTGCTTCTCCCCCCTGGGAGTGATTTACAGTGATTCTTTTTATGAAGAATGGTAGTGTTTCATTTGTCTAGTAAATAGAAATGACATGGATTGTACTCTAAAATTTTGCATCTGTGTAATAAAGATCTAACTATAGTAAATCAGAGAGAAGGTATGTTTTTCCTTTCCAAGAAAAATCAGTTTATCCTCTGAACTGAAAGTTTTCTGTTACTCTGAGAGGTTTAACAATTAAATTTATGTAGGGAGGAGCTTACAAAATCATACGTTCTCTCACTGTTCTCAATTAAGTTATGTAGAAGTTTGTAGCATAGTAAAGAAGTCATTTGACTTAATAACATATAGTGGACAATTCCTAGTTCAAATAGGTGGTATAAAACCAAACAGGAATGTGTTAGACAAAACTTTAATGGCTCTGTATGAAGCTGGGGGAGGAAAGCGGGCAGATTTTCTTGGTGTATCTAGGAATCATCTGTGGCTGAATGAGAGTAAAATGTATTACTGAAAAGCTGTTCTGAATGTCTGTGTTAGTCATTTATAGAGTCAAGTCAGAAATTCTACCATGCTGGGCTAGAACAGACTGACTTCATGCATGCTTATGAGGATTCCAGAAAACAAATAAATGGCTGGGTAGAGGAAAGGACTGAAGGTGAGCGTTTTGCAATATGCCCTGTTGTATTTAATAGGAGCCATGGCTTGGGTAAACAGCTATTTCAAGATACAATATTGTGAATTAAAAAAACCCCAAACATTGAGCTCTTGTGCTGTTTGGTACATAATTCTCTTATCTATTGTGTATTAATTACAGAATAGATACTATATTAGATGATAATTAGATACATGTCAAACTGTTAAAAAATGTTGGGTTTTTTTTTCTATATATCATAAAGGTAAAATTCAGAACCTGTTGGCAGAGGGGATTCTGGATTCACTGACCAGACTTGTGTTGGTGAATGCCATCTATTTCAAAGGCAACTGGGAAAAGCAGTTCAACAAAGAGAGAACAACAGAAATGCCATTTCAAATTAACAAGGTATGATGTGCTAAAATGCTGACAATACGGTGTTACTCTGAAGTGAATACATTTAACTCTGAAGGAAAAAAAAAAAAATCAGTCAAGCAGGGTTACCTTGGGTAGGCTGTATGAAATTCGTTGTACCCCCTCCCTTTAATATGAACACTCTCTTTGTTTAGTTTCTGTTAAGATTCACATAATTACTAGAAACTTTAATATAACAATTAAGTATTTCTTTCATTCTGTCTCTTCTTTTTTTCCTCTTACCCTTCTTGCTTGTTTGAGAGAGAGGGTAGCCCTTTACATAGGTACAGAACTTGAAACAGAACAGAAGACAGCAATTGAGTGAAGCTGTCAGGCTATTTGAGAGTTGTGAACTATTTCACAGAAGTCAGTGAATTTGATTATTTTAGCATAAAACTGGTGTGGATAGGAAAATAAATTTTCCTTTAGGTCGTAGGCAGAAAAGAACACTTATACATGTGCAGAAACTTCTGAATGTAAGTCTTCTTCAGTCAGTGCTTTTTTGCTGCATTTCTACCACTGAACTGATCCAAAATAAAGGGGGGGGAGGTGGGGAATCTGCTTTGAAGACCTCCATGCTATACTTTCTTGCTTTTAGAAGTTGATCAGTGCTATTGAAGAAGACTTGGCTACTATCATTAGCAGGCCCTGGCTGCCCCTCAAGATCACCTCAGACTCTGGGTATTCGCCCAGATGTCATTAACAAGAACTGGTAACATGACTTCCTTAACTCACATGCTTAGAATCATAGAATCATTATGGTT